GTCTCCGGCCGCGGCGGCTCTGAAGCGCCACCTCATCAACTGCCGGCCTAGATTGTCTCCGGCCGCCGCGGCTCTGAAGCGCCACCTCATCAACTGCCGGCCTAGATTGTCTCCGGCCGCCGCGGCTCTGAAGCGCCACCTCATCAACTGCCGACCTAGATTGTCTCCGGCCGCCGCGGCTCTGAAGCGTCACCTCATCAACTGCCGATCTAGATTGTCTCCGGCCGCCGCGGTTCTGATCTGAAGCGGAGACCCGTTGCCCCAGCGGGACTCCGGCGCCTCACGCTGTGCGGCTCATTGCTGGCGGCACGCGCTCTCTCGTCCGCCCCGTCGGCGCACAGCGCAGGCCCATCTGATAGGCGCCAGCTGCCTCGGCTCAGCCAGCAGTGAAGATTGTATGCTGGCCGGCACACCCGCGCCACGCAGGCATAGCATACACAACTTCAACACGCGAAACTAGGTACACGTTGTTTACACATGAGAAGCCTCTGTAACAACCGACAGTAGTAGACTGACACGTGTGCTATGATGGTCACTAACATCAGAGATGCCCTTTAGTTTATTTTTTTTCTTCAAACGGCTTTACATCAGGGAAACAAATTTTCTTGTGTTCACTGATGTGATATGGGCGAGCCAAGCTGGAGCCTACACCTGTGGTGTGATATTTCTACCACGACTTTCATTTCTGCTTTGCGACTAACTGCGTCATAACATCCACCAGCATTGCAATTAAATGACTGATTTACAATCAGCAATTTGATGTCAGATTAATATCGAGAGTAGACAAATTACCTTCAGCCTCTAATATCACTGGCCTGTAGGCTGGTAGATGGAAGGAAAGTTAGCGGCAGGAGTTTGACGTGTTCGCCATCACCAGGTGGGTAGGGTGTGGGAAGAGAACACGGAAAAGGAGGCGACACACCTTTCCTACCCTTACTACTGCCGGTCCTGGGCCGCAAAAGTCCTGCCCGTTCCCGCCCGGGACAGGTGATTAATCACCCTCGCACGCCCGACGATTGGCCTTCCAACTGAAGTGATGGGACGAGACAACAGCGCAGTCTAAACGACGCTGTGCCCATCATTCGCTGAGAGCTGAGTGATATGCCAAAGTAGCTCGATGCATGTGCAAATTTCATGACAACTTGTGATGCTTGAGATGGCGGCATGACAACTCATGGCACATGAAATAACGGTAAACTCAACCACGCAAGACTCTACGACTGCCGTCAATCACTGGATAACTGTGTCCAACCTACAACCAGTGCCCTGACAGAAAATATTCTGTTCGTCATGATCTACTTCCCAACAGCATTAACGGATACGCACTTTTAAACCAAAAAGCATAGCAACTGAATGATTTCCACTGAGACGCTGTTGTCACCATCTCGCCATACACTCGTTTCAAACGCGGTCATCCGCTGCACTTTCGGACAACGGCGGCAGCGGGGCGGGGCGGGGCGGGGCGGGGCGGGGAGGGGCGGGGCGAGGCGGGGGATGCGGGGCGCAGCGCGTCAAAGCTGCTGACGCGTAGAACCAATCAGCCGCCTACATGACCCCACCTGAGCCGGCTAATAGCCCGGGCCGAGGCTGGGATCGCCGAGTGGCGGCCGCAGCGGCGCCGAGGGGGCGGGCCGCAGACTGGTGGCCGCCAACTGCCTCGAGCCGAGCTGCCGGCCGGTGCGGCAGCGGCTGGAGTCGCAGGCACGTGGGCAGCGTCGATGGGATCGCGTGGACAGCCCGGTGGGACCTTTGGCGCAACATGGCGGTTCGTGCGTACAGGCGGAGTGCGATTCTTAAAAAGGCTCGGCATGCATGTGGTGAATTACGTGGAAAATTCAGCCCTGCCCGTTTGCCTGCCGTTTATATGTGTATTTCGCCACCAATCTAGACACGGTTGCGCACCACCAGCTCCTGTTTGGCCCACAAGTACAATGAAACTTCACGAGTGTTTTCTTAGCCCGCCGCGTTTGGTGAAAGTCACGTCGCTCGCCCGCAGTGGGTGCCGCAGTTTGCAGGTCTTCACCCCTTTGCGCCGCCGGCTCTTCACACTGTACTTCAGCCGGCGACGCATCGCAGCGAGGATTTTGGCAGTGCGTCGCGTGTCGTTTGACAGACCGTTCTTCACGCTGGCCGGCTGGTATTTGCTTTCGAGTCTGTGACAGACTGCAGCGAGGACTTTGATAGCGTAAGGCGTGCAGTATGACAGATAGGTCTTCAGGCTAAAAAGGTGGCATTTACAGAGTCGATCCCACCTTAACCAAGCGCGCAGCGAGACGACGCAACGGTGCCGAGAAGTGATCGCCCGCAGTCCGATGGCACAGGAACAACCAACCGGAAGAAGCCGGCCGGCGGGCGGCGGTTCCAGTTGGTAACGGAATACGTGCGTGTATGCCACCGCGACAGTGACGCGCCGCCCAGCATCTAGACTCCGTCATGCAGCAGGCTTACGCATGGGACATTCTAAAAACTGCCTCCCGTTGATAAACACTGAAACCTTCCCCGGTTTCGTGGCGGGGAAGAACCGAGCGTTTGTAGTGGACGGCTCCAGCCTGCGCCCATCACCGCAGGCCCACTCATCACACCAGCTTTTCAGCAGGGGCCGGCATCTCCGGCGATGATCGACGCAGCACCCGCGGCACCGCCGGCCGGGCCCGCACATCACAGGCAGAACACGCGGACTCCCCAGCTGTCCTTGACACGAGCCAGCGGCGCGCGAAAGACCCTCAGAAGCCCAGGCGCGCGGCGAACAAACACTCCGACCCGTTCAGCCACGGTCCCCGGAAATCGGTCTGTGTGAGGCACTCACCAACATCCGCTTCTTCAAATAACAAGGAGCGTCGAACGAAGCTTTGTTGGCTTTCAGCATCTGTTGGCACGACATTTAACAAAGACCTGATTCAGCGCCAGGCGGAATGAGGTGCAGCAGAAAAGTTCGCCGAAGCTCTCTGGGTGCACCTGGCTTCCTCGCACGCTGGCTACGGGGTTTACATAAGGCTGGGGTGGGGGCAGGGCCTCCATAATGGCAAGGGCAAGGGTGGCGGTGTATGCTGGCCCGCAATTTTTACCCTCGATTCACCCCATCATCTTGATTGTTCTTGAATACGACCCGGCATTTAGGAGAAATAATTGTCCTGCGTTCCATCTTAATACAACCGAAAGATATCACATTACTGGCAAAACCGAGCCGCGGCCCGCAGGATGACGCTGGGATGATGGGAACCGTGAATTTGGAGGGCGGGAAGTTGGGAAATCACTGCTGCGGCAGCGTGTTATCTGGCCGGGCGGTGACGCCAGGGCGGTGCGTCATCCGGCCGGGGCAGTGACGCCAGGGCAGTGCGTCACCCGGCCGGGCAGTGACGCCTGGGCAGTGCGTCATCCGGCCGGGCAGTGACGCCAGGGCAGTGCGTCACCCGCCGGGGCAGTGACGTCAGGGCAATGCGTCACCCGGCCGGGCAGCCGTTATCCAGATACTGGTTGTTAGGGTCGGTGACGAAGTTTTATGTTCCTAGGTAAATAACGCCCAAAACACGCGCAAAAAGCCAAAAACACGCGCAAGAGCATGCGCAAAATAATGAATGCGCCAAAGGTCACACAACTTTGGACGTGATAACACAACATGGCATATCCTCAGAAAACCTCGGGGGGTCATGTCAACCCCCCCCCCCCCCCCCTCCCTCCCTCGCCCCGCATCAGAGCGTAGGCTAATTTGTGGACGGACGGAACACATCAGCGCACATCCACCTACTAAATTAAACCAAAATCTGCCTACTAAACCTTAGAAGAAGAAAAAACGTGGCAGTGCATTGATAGCACATGAGGTAAGTTTTGGAACTGAATGTATGACGATAGAATTCGCCTGCTAACGGCCCGCTCGTACTACGCTGCTTAACGCGGCGTCTTACTGGTATGTATTGTTAAGTCGCTCGTAGCATCAAATACTTGGCGTACTATCTAAGAAACAATGAATACTTATTTTTCAAGGAAGCATCTCTCAAAAATTGACCAGTAGATACTGACCATGCTATTTCCAGCGAAAATTCGGTTAATTTCAGTACGAGCACAATGCGGAAATTGCCGTGGGTCCGTGTCGTGGGTTCATGTCGTGGGTTCGCGTCGTGGGTTCGTGTCGTGGGTTCGTGTCGTGGTTTCGTGTCGTGGGTTCGTGTCGTGGGTTCGTGTCGCAAGGTACAGCAACAGGGCTCCTGAGTCCATTCGACCTACCATGCCTCCGACACATGTTTGCTGTGACCCTCCTCCCCCCCCCCCCCCCCCCCCCCCCTCCTCCCACTTCATTGAAGCAGTCAACTGGATTGTACGAACTTTTGTGTCTGGCTAGCTGGTAGACAAAAAATGGTCCAGTGCCAAACATAGGCAAGCGGCTTTAGTCGTGCTTGTCATGCAACAACCGAAAAATCGGTAATATTAGACAGTCATTGTCAATAAAAAATAAGCCGCACAAAAATCAAACCAATCACATGCACAACACAAACGTGCATCTGAGCATGCTTTGGACAGCCAAGGAAGATAAATGGATTTGACTCTACGATTAGTGATCCGTCAGCAAACAAAACTAAAACAGAAGAGCCACGGCACACTGTGGTCGAGGCTTACCAATCTTCAGCCGTGACCTAGTAGCAGAATGAAAACATCGAACCATCGTTACAAAACGGAAGTGTCTCACATAAAGGTCGGGCACAAACTGTCCATAGCGTGATCTGACACCGTTTCTATCGCAATGCAAGTGGCATCAAGTACAGGTCGCTCAATCGCCTTCATTGTTTTGAGATGAGCAAAATGCTATTCTAAAATGGCAACTGCATCCCGAAATGGCAATGCAGCGGCCTCCACAAAATCTAATCATTCCCGTCACACCAAAGTTGTGCTGGTCGACAGAAACGACATAAACGACATCCACCGGACTTCTGAGTATCAGTTTGTCTCTGAGCACCTTTCTGCTGTCAGCCATCTGGGAGGGCAGCCGCCTGGCGACGTTCACTCACCGTGGACCAGTTCGTAGATGGCTTGCTTGTGCCGCGCCACGGCGTCGGGATCACTCGCCAGTTTGCTGGCAACAGATGGCACCACGTTCAAACAACGAACTTGCATGGGCTCCGTCGGCGCTCATCAATCTACCTTGACCGTATTGTTGGTATTGAGCCACATAAACTGTTGGATACAAATATGATATCATATAAACTGCTGGATTTGATTCGCCTAAAAACGGTCGCGTCTGGAATCATATGTACCAATCAGAACGCAATCGCAAAAACGACACAGCCCTCACCTCTTCAGGAACTTTGGTCAATGTCGATCACCGCTTTTAATATTCAGTCGCGTTTAACAGGCTTCAAATGAAGCTGCAGTGGCACGGTACTGTTGTGCTTGTTCTTTACGGCCGCATGCACCGGTGACCAGCGTCATAAGCACACCTCCCCGACGCCGGAGCGAGCGGCCGACCGGCTGACCGGACCAGGCCAGCACGTGCGGCACCCGGCCGCTCACCTGCAATACTTGAGGGTGGCCACCATCAGGGCGCACACGATGAGCATGATGCAGCCGAACCACCACCACGTGCTGCTGGACACCTGCCAGCCGGCACCGCAGCAGTCGGGGTCGAGCACTGCGACCGAGGGCAGGGTCGGGTCAGAAGAGCACACCCGGTCACGTGCCGCCAGTGCTGCAGGAGACCGCTCCGAACACAGACCAGAGAGGCGAGCTCACAACAGCCCCGCTTGCTCCACCAACCCAGCCCCGGACGCGTCAGGCATATGTTACATGCTTCTCCTTGTATACTGTGTGCCGTGGCCATGTCACCTGAGTGCGACCCTAATAATGAGCTGGATTGAAGGGACCATGCAAATAATCACAGCTCTTCCAGCGCCATCATCCTCAGCCTCAGATTGGATTAACCCGCGATTTTATTCGCGACTCATTCAGGGGACACGACTCAGGAGTTTTTCACTACAACCGACCAAAAACAATAATTCATGAGCCGAGGAAACAAGTCTCAAGGTCAAGAGACGATACAATGAGCCTTAAACACAGTGCCGCGAGACAGCAAATGACCTTGCAAACCATGCACCCACTGATGGCGAAAATCATCCCACAAAGGTGGCACAACATCACGTAAATATAGCCCCTGGTTCACTTGGTCATTTGTATTACAGTCGCTCTCAACTCAACTCCCGGCCACACCCGGCCGTCCCTACCTCCAGTCTGCGGCCACTCAGGCCCGCACAAGCGACCTCGGCCAGGTCACGTGGTCAATGCCCTTAGGCATAAACACGGCCGGCCGCGCCCGTTATCCGCCGACCGGGCAGACTGAAAGCCGGGCCTGGAACCCATTATCAATAGCCTACTCCACACAGCCCATCGCGCTAGTGCAGACTCTCCCAGCGCTGAACACACCGCCGTGACTACTGCTGCCGCCTGGGCCTCACCAGTGCAGACCCTCCCAGCGCTGAACACACTGCCGTGACTACTGCTGCCGCCTGGGCCTCACCAGGGCAGACTCTCCTAGCGCTGAACACGCCGCCGTGACTACTGCTGCCGCCTGGGCCTCACCAGGGCAGACTCTCCTAGCGCTGAACACGCCGCCGTGACTACTGCTGCCGCCTGGGCCTCACCAGGGCAGACTCTCCTAGCGCTGAACACACCGCCGTGACTACTGCTGCCGCCTGGGCCTCACCAGTGCAGACCCTCCCAGCGCTGAACACACCGCCGTGACTACTGCTGCCGCCTGGGCCTCACCAGTGCAGACCCTCCCAGCGCTGAACACACCGCCGTGACTACTGCTGCCGCCTGGGCCTCACCAGTGCAGACTCTCCCAGCGCTGAACACACCGCCGTGACTACTGCTGCCGCCTGGGCCTCACCAGTGCAGACCCTCCCAGCGCTGAACACACCGCCGTGACTACTGCTGCCGCCTGGGCCTCACCAGTGCAGACCCTCCCAGCGCTGAACACACCGCCGTGACTACTGCTGCCACCTGGGCCTCACCAGGGCAGACTCTCCCAGCGCTGAACACAACGCCGTGACTACTGCTGTTGCCTGGGCCTCACCAGGGCAGACCCCCCCCCCCCCCCCCCCCCCCCCCAGCGCTGAACACACCGCCGTGACTACTGCTGCCGCCTGGGCCTCACCAGGGCAGACTCTCCCAGCGCTGAACACACCGCCGTGACTACTGCTGCCGCCTGGGCCTCACCAGGGCAGACTCTCCCAGCGCTTAACACACCGCCGTGACTACTGCTGTTGCCTGGGCCTCACCAGGGCAGACCCCCCCCCCCCCCCCCCCCCCCCCCCCCCCCCCCCCCCAGCGCTGAACACACCGCCGTGATTACTGCTGCCGCCTGGGCCTCACCAGGGCAGACTCTCCCAGCGCTGAACACAACGCCGTGACTACTGCTGTTGCCTGGGCCTCACCAGGGCAGACCCCCCCCCCCCCCCCAGCGCTGAACACACCGCCGTGACTACTGCTGCCGCCTGGGCCTCACCAGGGCAGACTCTCCCAGCGCTGAACACACCGCCGTGACTACTGCTGCTGCCTGGGCCTCACCAGTGCAGACCCTCCCAGCGCTGAACACACCGCCGTGACTACTGCTGTTGCCTGGGCCTCACCAGTGCAGACTCTCCTAGCGCTGAGCACACCGCCGTGACTACTGCTGCTGCCTGGGCCTTACCAGTGCAGACTCTCCCAGCGCTGAACACACCGCCGTGACTACTGCTGTTGCCTGGGCCTTACCAGTGCAGACTCTCCCAGCGCTGAACACAACGCCGTGACTACTGCTGTTGCCTGGGCCTCACCAGTGCAGACTCTCCTAGCGCTGAGCACACCGCCGTGACTACTGCTGCTGCCTGGGCCTTACCAGTGCCGTTGAGCGCGAGCCGTATGGTAATGTTGTCGGTGATCGACCATCCGTACAGCCCAGGCAGCTCCGCTGGCTCGCCATCCATCGCCGCGGACACGGCAGCCGGCGTGGTGGTCTGCATCGGAGCTGCGGGCGGAAGACTGTGGTGAAGCATAGCTGCTTTTGGTGGGGTTGTTCAGGTCAGCCTGTGGTCAAGCGGTTCATCCGGAAACCATGTGGAGCTGATAAGCGCATTCCATTTTGTGTCTTGTTAATACCATGTTGCCTGATTCAAAGCCAGAGGATTCATTGGTGCACCCCTTGCACACAGACCAAATGAATTGCCACGACCATGCTGATGAGTCACTGGGTCATCCAGATTTCACTTCAATCCCTAAAAATGCTCAGTAATGGGTGCATGATTAGACATGATTAAACAACCAGGCCAGGCTACCAAAGATACTAGATTTAGTTGTTGACATTGAGACCTACTCAGCCAGCTGTTTTACTCATCATTAGCTTATCTAGGATGCACATCTCCTTACTTTTGCCTGAGGCATGAAGAGGTATGCTGCAATTGTATCCTTAATAAAGTAGTTACATTTTACTCATTTCAGACCCAGGCTCAACTGAGAAAAGAACAAGGTTACTGTAAGCATCAATCCATTCTAGCACCTAGGAAGGACATACATGTCACAGGATTTGTGGTTTAGGGCCAATTTAAATTAGGCTGCATAAGATAATGTTATGTTATGTTACATCACTTGCATAGCCATCTAGTTTCATTTCCCAGTAACATCACAGATCATTAGAAAGACATAACCTTAAACACACATTCACGTCATACACATGCTCGGCCAGCAGATAATTTCAGACAATTATCTAAAGTGTTTGAAAATTTGTCAATGCCAGCACCAAGAATTAGTGCAAATAGGTATCTGTGAGAATTGCTACAGTAAATTATCCATACAGAGGATGAAAAACAGATAACTTTCAAAGCAAAGCCAAAACTGAGTATCTTTCTATGCCATACATAGGTGCAACCATTGGATGTGCACAGAGCATGAGAGCTGAAACAAGGGGATAATTTTTAGACCTGCTAAATGTAACTGAACAATCTTAATAGATGATTATCAAAGATAACTTTGTCAAACAAATTTCCCTCTGCCAAATGACCCTAGCCTCTGCCCTGATTTTAAGATGAGCATGGTAACCACTTCTGATTGCAGGTGAAGTTTAAATCATGTTATTTTCATGCAATTATTATTCCATATTGCAGACATAACATAACTGCATAACTATAATTGTCAGCATATTTGGTCTGCTGCATTGATTTTCTTTAACAAATATATTAAAATCTGGCCTCATAGAGAAAATATGTCCTATAACAAAAATATGCAAATGGGGTGCACTTCCGTGTTTTTTCAGTGATCGATTCTGAATCGTGGAACCATTGCAAATAATATTTATTGTCATATTGCACATACCGCATATCAACCAACATTTAACCAATCACCATGGTGGGCCCTGGATGTGCCTGCCACCAAACACTATGTATTTGGTTGTATTTATTTTGGTTTTTACTATTCAATGTATGGTTGCATTTCAACAGTGCAGGAAGCTCCCCAACAAGTAATTAATGCATTGTTTTATTTCTTCAATGCAACAATGTACAACTAATGCGAGATTCGTCAATCCAAGCAATGAACACCATCTTGAGGCAGCAATCCATTCTAACCAGTCCTCTCAGTGACATTGTAATTCCTACGCTGGCATCAAGGTTTTCTTACCCCGCTTCAGACAGCTTTCTCAGCTCCCCTCTCTTTACAGGCGCTTAAAAGCCAAACAAAATGATCATTGACCCACGCAGCGCCCACCCCCATACATTTGCACGTCCAACTGGAAATCGGATCAAAATAAACATCAATATTGTCTATGCCGCACATGAGACGAATACTGGTTTGGTCGGGTTTAGTGGTAGTCCTTATCACTTAGGATAAGTGACGTAATACATCATAAAAAAATATTGTATCGTTCTTGGCTGCGGAATTTCTTGTACATTCTTTCAATTAACATTGTAAATAAATAACATCATAATCGGGCATGTTTACTGTTTAAATTTTCCGTTAACAAACTATTCTAGGAGTCATCTCGCGGATTGTCTTTGTGGTAATAAGCAAATATGCCCATGTCGGTTAATATTGTGCCAAGATTGCGACCCTCTTGGCAGGACGATGCCAGATTGGAAAGAAACCCTTAAACATGCAGTACTCCGTCCCGCTGTTCCGACACCGAAACAGAATATTCCACCGAATGAAAAGAAGGACCGTAAGGCACGCAGGAGATGGCATATGCCCCGTATGAGACCTTGGATGACCGATGTTAAGTTTGTCTCGCCTTTGTCAAACGAAGCACCATAATAAGACACTAATGTTATCTTGAAAGCTGAGCACACTTAAGTTGAGTGGAAATAGGTTTCGGATAACATTTGCAACGTTACAAAAATAAGTGGCATGGAACATCGGTGCATGTAACCTCTGACGGTTAAACCAGGGCTCGCCGGGTCCGGTCTGGCTGGCAATGATCGCCTGATCGGGCAATGCAGGCTGCAGCACTGCCTTCCCCAAATGAGAACGATCGGTCTCCCGACAGTGACCTCCACGCTATTACAGGGAGCTATATCCTGACTGACTGGCAAAAGCTGTGGGGCGAGGAACGCAGAAGAAACAAGTTGAAAGCCATCAAATTCAAGATAGGGGACTGAGAGTTGTCTTTCCGGAAGGTCAAAAAAGGCAAACTCATTCCGACCTGTCTCCGCATTGGTCACATGTAGGGCACCCACAGATCCTGACCGAACGGCACAGCGGATGTCCCCACATGTGAACGGTGTGGACACATGTTGACTGCAAAACACACGCTTGTTGACTGCACATTATTCAGCTCTCAGAGACAGAGATTCCTCGGACATCACGCGACACTGATGCCGCTGATAGGTTACATTCCGAGTTTGGACGTTCTGTCATTACGAAGCTCTAAGCTGCGGTTGGACGACACTGATGCCGCTGATAGGTTACTTTCCGAGTTTGAACGTTCTGTCATGACGAAACTCTAAGCTGCGGTTGGACGCAAATGAAACATCCCACCTTTTTGTATTTTTCACTTATTGTTACATCGGATGCGTATGATTTGATAAGTTATGCCAGCTTTCTCGAAATCCTTCTGAATAGTTCAGAATTTCTGCTTGAAGTAGCCATACAGGAGAAATCTCATTTGACTCCCTGCTCACCAATATGAAAGCAATATATTTTGCTTGCTACGCTTTTTCCAATGTGTGTCCTGCAATGTTTGGAACACATTAATTTGTCAAGATGTTCGTGCAATATTCGGAAGTTTGAAAAATTGTTCAGCCAAACCGATATGCGAACAGGAAAATATTATCTCACAAACTCAGTAAAGCGTTATGCTATGTTTTTTTCTTATTTCTTACTATGGCGTTTACGACAGTGGCTCTTTTCGGAGCGCCCGTTGGCTTTGGGAACGTGAGTATCACATAATCCCCGCGACGCACTTGTTCAAACTGCAACCAATGTGCTCCTCGGTAACAGACCCTTGCACGCTGCACAAAAATGTCAGCGGGCACGTTTAGCGCACCTCTACCGAAAAGAACAAAAGTTCTTTTCGGTAGAGGTGCGCATGGTGATTGTCATGACGACGTTGGTCGCGACTGCAGGGAAGGATAGTTCTGCTACAAAACACATTTACAATGTAATTGGGACTCGAAAATCATAAAAAATTTATCCGTAATGTGTCTTGACGGTACCGAAGTGCTACAACCCAGAGCTATGATTATACGCAACTAGTCCTGAGGTTTCAGCAGAGGATGCTTTTGAAATATGCTGCAAAAGTGGGACACTCCCTTTAACGTGGTCTTCTTTCCTGACAGGCGCTAGCTTATAATATATTAGCTGAATAGGTTTGGCAGTCACCGCATCGGGCTAGTGGTGGTCTGCTAAGCGTGTCCCCTTTCTATTGTTTCATTTTACCCGTCGACACAACGGCACAGAGCGAAATCGTCACATCGACCGAAGCACTATTACAAATCAAAGTGAGCATGATCGCACTTGAGAAAAATTGTAGGGGTCAGTGCTCAAATGTAATAAATATGAAGATGAATGCGGCAGTTTACCGGTGCCTGCCATGACATACACCTGTGCAGTTCGTGAATTTCAAAGTGTTGGTAAACAACACGTTCCATTGTCGCGAGAATTCCAAAGACCGATGGAAACAAAGGCTGAGGAAAAAATTGTGCGTGTCCGCAAGCAATAGATTTGTATGGACAATCAGTGACATTCAAGTAACAAGTTACGCCATAGTACTCAAAAGGTAAAATCTACCATTGATACAAGTTTCAGATGAATGGTGGGGGGTACACGTTCAGTGACCTGTACCCCTGCGTCCTGATCAACCTTAGGCATTAGAGACCTGTCGGTCACAGCTTTAAATGCGACGAGCAACAAGATGGCCAAATGTAATAAACATGTCAAGCAATACCATTTACATGAGCTTGAAGAAGTCGTGGGGGTCTGAGTTTAACTACCTTGAACTTCGTAGGCCTCGAGATCTTCAGGCGCTATTTTTCAATGTGGCTCAAAACGATATGCACCCTCGTGATCAGCATTCAAACTCCACCTGCTATTTAAAAAAGCAATTTAAAAAAGCCAGGCAACAGTTTTTTGCGTTGGTAATTCAGTTTTTTCCATAGCCATAGCACGAGTCTGTGATAAAAAGACGAGCCACCTGGATGAATATCACCGATATAGCTTACACCTCACCGTGTGCTCACTATAACTGCACTATTGTCTTCATGTAGCACGTAATGTGTTCACCACGCCGTGAAAGGACAAGGTAAATATGGGACATAACTTGACGTTTGCTATGCTCATGGCTCACTTTGAGTGATAAACGTTGTTCAAACATAACACTATCACACCACAGATTCTCACACTAAAACTGATTAAGATACAATATAATCTTTCATGCCTGACGTTTTATCACCCAAGTCCAACTGCTGCTTATCGTTCGGGTTACATCAGAGCCCCAATCGCGACTAAAGATCTGACCTTTGCATGCAGACGCGTCCGATCAACCTGTCCCGGGGCAGCGGTCGGTGTGCAGACGCGTCCAATCAACCTGTCCCGGGGCAGCGGTCGGTGTACGGACGCGTCCGATCAACCTGTCCCGGGGCAGCGGTTGGTGTGCAGACGCGTCCGATCAATCTGTCCCGGGGCAGCGGTCAGTGTGCAGACGCGTCCGATCAATTTGTCCCGGGGCAGTGGTCGGTGCGAGGACGCGTCCGACCAATTCGTCCCGGGGCAGCGGTCGATGTGCAGACGCGTCCGATCAACCTGTCCCGGGGCAGCAGTCGGTGTGCAGACGCGTCCGATCAATATGTCCCGGGGCAGCGGTCGGTGTGCAGACGCGTCCGATCAACCTGTCCCGGGGCAGCGGTCGGTGTGCAGATGCGTCCGATCAGTCTGTCTCTGAGGCACGAGTCGGCGGGCCGTGTTACATCTTCTATTATTAAAAGGCAACGCGATATACGTCACCACGTCCATTTTATGGAGTGTAAGCGCCTGCATTGACCATATTAGCGCTCATGGGCCCTGGCGACCCCCACGTGGGAATCCGACGAGCTAACCACTCAGCCGTTACGCCCATGTTATGTGTGAAGCAGAAGAGGGTCTAGGACAGGACCTGGTACACATAGTGTTACAACACAGCTGCTGCTCACACTCCGACAGCACAACTAGTACGCTGGCCTTCGCGGGCTCGTGACCCCGAGGTCACTATGTTAGTAGGCCTCTTGGGTGTGCTGACAAAAAGGATAGACTAGAAAACATCGTTGCTCCTTCAAGGTCGAACATTTCGCTCGTGAAACTCTGCGTGCTGTCCTGACCGCAGCCAAGAAACAGATGGATCTCACCCTACAGTTTCAACAGAGAGCAACTGTTCGGGCTGTTTAAGATGCGTGGATTAGAACCCTTCCGGCAAGCAATGAACGTCCCAGAGCTATGAGATAAAGGGGAGTGGACAACGATGGGGCAGAACCAAACGCAGCTGCATTTCCATTCACTGATGCAAGGCCCGTACAGGGGCACCTGTTCAGGGTTTGTGCTCGGCACTCGGAGAGCCCCCCCCCCCCCCCCCCCCTGCCAGGGGAACTCTGAGCCACTCTTGGATGATGCGCACGGCCTACCCCGGTCCATTTACCCTCGCCCCAACTCGTCGCTTTTCAAATTACGGACCGATGGGGAAGGGGGGAGGGGTTCGACCCCCCCCCCCCCTCCTGTTTACAAAGTAACGAACAGAGAGCCGGGTGGAAAACACCAGTGGGTTCGTTTCAACGAGATTTCACGCTTGGTGAGAACCCCACCACCCCAGGTCAATGGTAAATTTTCCAAAAAATCGCGTTTTTCAGTTTTACATGTTCATATCTACGATACCATACTTAACAGCGATGCAAAACCTAAACAAGAGTGTTATTTGTCAAACTGCTAGTACATAGTATACAGTTTTAGGTGTTTTAAAGCATATGGTCAAAATCTACGGCCCCAAAAATGTAACAATATGGTCCCGCCGCGCTCGTTCCCAGGTATTGTCGGTTGCCGCCCGCCCAGGCTATAGATCGCCGTGCAGCGTCCCTCAAAAATCGCCGCTGATCCGAAACCAGAAATGTTATGAACACGTTTGATGTATCAAAACCCACGCAATGGCTGCCACACGTGCTACTGAAAATTTGGGCGCGACTGCACAACATACCGGATATGGATCCTCAGAAACCCTAGAGGGGCCATATCGACCCCGTATCAGAGCAAGGGCTACTCG